GACAGACTCTTGTATTGTTCTTGTATGTTCTCTACAGCTGTAAAATTGCAGATTTTTAAAATAATGTCAATGGGAGTTAATTATAGAGCAGTTGTTCAAAATCTGCCTTTCTCTCTCTCTCTCTCTCTCTTCTTCCCTCTGTTCCTCTCCCTCCTCCCTTGCTCTCTGTGCCCTGTTCCCTCCCTCTCTCCCAGATGCTCTCTTTGCTGACCAGAATCTGGATAACTAAGGGCAGCAAGCAGGCCTTGCACCATGTGGAGAGGATCAAGGCATAAGTGAGCCTTCTCTAGACTCCCCATCCTCAAAGGTCTGACTGGGGACAGCTACTGTCCCCAAGACTCCATATGATCCTGTGCTGAGCCAGCATGCCACTGCTCTGGGGACATGCTCCAAGGTCACTAATGAAAGCTGTCATTTGTCCACTTGTCCTTGTACTGGATCGGTGTAACAGACTCACACCTCGCAACACAGGCAGCAACTGCTACGCTCGTCTTAACCCTGTGGGCAGCTCAGAGAGGAACTAAAGAATTACAGAGAGGACTCAGTGTCAGGCCAAGTTAAGGAGTATTCTGTCTACACCTTCCACAGCCCCACTGAAATGACTCAAAACTCATCTGACTTGAGGTACGGAGTTGGCTCCTGGTTCTTGCACTAAGAACTAGTCTCTAGCTGACCTGCTCTGCTCATAAGCCTCATGGCTATGAGAAACAAAGATGACGTTAAGAACCAACATGTCTCCAAAGGCTCCTAAAACAACATGGGTTGTTGCCATTGTCCTTGGATGTCCAGCATAACTAGATGATAAAATCCTATTGCAGAAGGCACAACATACTTTGGTTGCAGTACATGGAGAAATCAAGCTGGAATTGCCCTGAAAACTCCCTCCCTAATGGCTAGCTTTCACAATACTAGAAGGTGCTACAAAGGCCCCTGAAGGAGAAAGTACTTAGAAGTACTTGTTGAGCAGTGAACTCTGCATGCTAGACTACTGACCTGCCAGGAAAGATGTGCCCACTGGTGCAATAATGGCATGACCGTTATGGTGGTAACCAACCACTTTCAGTTGAATCTGAGGCCTGCTCCACAAAAGGGATTTGTCTAGTAATGCAAACCTGGCCAAAAGCTCAGGGTTGAGGAGGTCATAAGACCTAGGGCAGAACCTATTACTGTTATTTCACTAAATAGGCATGTTGTCAAAATACCTGCAAGGTGGTTATCACTCACTCTCCTTTGCAGAAGTCATTCTAATTGTGTTCTAAATATTTATATTTCTTCTTTTGCAGTGGGTGGCAATCAATGCAGAGGCTGGTCAACGGGTTTAGAACGCGTGACTATTGAATGTTCAGCACTAAAGCGGGACGTCTACACACACACATCAGGGCTCAGGGAACGTCTCAGAAGAGGAGGTGGGAAGAGTGGAAGGTAAGAGCCACAGAAGGAGGAGGAATGCTGCGGAATACTGTCCTCTAGACAGGGCGAGGCTGCTGCCTCATGAATTCACAGCTGCTGTGGTAATGTGCACAAGATCAGGCGGGGCCTCATGCGGAGCCACTGGTAGTTGGTGGCTGCTGGGAAAGAGGACACTTTTCTTCAAGGAGGTGGCAAATGATAACTTGCCTACGCTCCCTCTGATGGTGACCCCCACCCTCGTGATCTTGCGGGGCAGTACTGATTAGACTCAATGGGTTTAAAAGAAAAAATGGCATTGAGGATGGAGGGAGTGTGTCAGGGCATTCTGGGTGGGTTGCAATTATGATGCAGGAACGGGTATGCTCAAGATGCATCGTACACACGGATGAAATTTTCAAAGAATAGATTGTTTTAATTCTTGAGAGAAAGAGAGAGAGAGAGAGGGAGAGAGAGAGAGAGAGAGCCAACACCTGACGTTGAGTGGCCTCCATCACTGGTAACTAACACCACATGTGCCAAGAAAGTGCAGGGTTGACACCCTCGCTATTTTCTCAGCAAAATATCCCATGTGCCTTGTGTGGAGGTGAGAAAATAGAGAAAAAGGATGGTGTCCTCTACCAGGTGGCAATTTCCTGGGCTGGGCTGTCCTCGTCACCAGAGCCTGCCCCTGGCTGGAAGAGCCTGAACTAAGGATGCTGCAGGCTTCACAGAGGTGTGGGTGGCCTCACCTGTCCTTTCAAAACCCCGCTCTGACACCTCTTGATCTTGTGGCCATAAGCGGGGTGCAACAGCTGGAGTGTGGTGGTCCTGAGGTTCAAAGTTGACTGGGAACCAGGAGTCTATAGTGATATCCTGTCTGGGGAGCACTGATATTAAGTCATTCTGAAACAGAAGATTCTAGAAGGGAACTAGAGTTATGTTGTCTGGATCAGGCCTGTTTGAAAGTCTCCAGAGAAGGGAAACAGATCTTTGAAACGTCTACTCATCTTTAAAGACAGTCTGCCAGGTCCTGAGACTCCTGCATGGAGAGACACTCAGGGTGAAAACAGCCAAACCCCGGTGCAGTGAGCAGAGTCATGGGGGTGAGAGCAGGGAGCAGGGTGCTCAGTCCATCCCTGGAGGTTCATGTGCGGGGAGAGCACTGGAAGGAGCTGTGGGCAAGGTGCATAGCATATTGTTAGAAGCACACTTGCCCCTTTTCTCCAGGGAGCAGAAGGCATGGGGGAGCAAGAGGAAGGAGGCCCATGTGCTGTTCCTCTGAAGCCTGATGCTGAGCCCTCTGTGGTCCCAAAAGGTTTCCATGGGCTCCACCCCAAAGGCCCTATTGGTCTCTTAGCCTGCACACACACTCACTTGCATATACATGTGCACATGCACACACACACACACACACACACACACACACACACAGTGGCCTCCAAGCCAGAAGGACACGGACAAGATGAAAAATCAGCTGCTAGGTCCTCCTTCAGGGAATAGGCAAGCCTCTCCCAGGTTAGCCTCCTGCTCTGCCCTCCCTAGCAACAGGATGTGAGGTAGGTTGGGAAGACTCAGTGAGTGACATCCCCAAAGCAGGGTGAGTGATAGCCACCCTGAAGGCATCCTCTCTAGATGAAGGAATAGGGGTTTAGCGAGCATTTGCTGTAACAAGCTTGTGAAAAACATCTGCTGTCAGTGTCTGGTGGTGACAGAAACACATGCAAAGGGATCAGTAGGGGTCTCAGTGGCATGGTGTGGTGGCACTAGGGTGTCCACACAGGCCTCCTCTGGATCCCCAGAGTACACCAGCCCCCAAGCTGCTTCTTGGTTAGGGAGGTCTCCGTGAACTAGAAGGACAACATGCGTCTGCGTCAGAAAGTTCTTGAGGATGCTGTGGAGTGACAGGAGGAGGAAATGAAGCATGGACAGAGGGACTTGAGGACTAGAAACCTGGGACGATGTCAGAGCACAGAGGCTGTGTGCACAGAGGTAGCCAAGTGGCCACTGCCTCGTGAGCCTGTCCTGGTGAGGTCTGAGCTTTAGTATTCAGTTACTGGATGACAAGTCATCTCCCTGGTCCCCAAGGGCTCACGCCCCTCTCTAGCAGCTGTCCTGGCACAGCCAGAGGAAGTTCTAGTAGGTCTCAGGGGCAAGAGGAATACAAGGGTCAGCATGGGCACGCCCGTGCACAGATCCTTCTCACATGCCTGTGGAGCTTAGCCCTGTGGCTTGCAGAGGACAGTGCTGAGTCAAGCAGTCACCATTACCCCTGACCATGCTGGGAAACATGCAGAATTAACTGGAAGCTGGACACTGTGGTCAGCGGCTGGGCAGCTGCTAATTCTATTCAAACTTATGCCAGGCCCACAAAGCCAGTAAGTCAAACACGTCTCCACACCTGAGCATGTGACTACACAGAGTTGGCAAGACCTCTTCCGAGAGGTGGCACTATAGATCTGGGTAGGAAGCAGCTGAGTGGCTTCAGACTTTGATGTAACTGTCAGGGGTGGCAGGGGTGTCACAGCCCAACACAGCCACTGGCAGCCTAGGACTCCCTTCCCCTTAGGGCTCTTCCACTCAAGTAAACCAGTGCTGTGGAAACTCACTGAGCATAGTCTCTGAGATACTGGCCCCTGGGGGCTGTATCTGGGATGCTATATGAGGACCCGGAGCAAGCTGGCTTTCTCTTGGGAGGTGGTTGCTGAGCAGAGGGCAGCATCCAGCACCTAAGGGTAGAAGACCATGGCGGTTCTCTACCTTGCTTTGTCATTTGTGAGTGATTCCCCCAATAAATACCTAACTTCCCTTTATCCAGGCTTCAATGGACTCTATTACAATCATCCATTACAAATCAGATCCTTGACTGTGTCACAGAAAAATAATTTAGATACACACCAGTCTGAAGCAAAGGTAGTAAATTAAACATTCTGACAGAGAGCCATATAAGAAAAGGACTTTATGCAATTCAAAGTGTCTTTTTTTTTTTTTTTTGAGACGAGCTTTCTCTGTGTAACTGGCTGTCCTAGACCAGGCTGGCTTTGAACTCACAGAGATCTAACTCCTGAGTGCTGGGATTAAGGGTGTGCACTCCCACCACCCAGCAATCCCAAGTGTTTTAGTTCCTGTTCTGTTGCTGTGAAGAGACATCATGACCAAGGCAGCAGGCAAAGCCTGGTGCGGGCTTTTGAAATCTCAGAACCTACCACCAGTGACATGCCCCCTCCAACAAGGCCGCACCTCCTCCAGCAAGGACACTCTTAATCCCTGTCAAGCAGTTCCATTCCCTGGTGACTGAGCATTCAAATGTATGAGCCTATGGGGACTATTCTCGCTCAAACCACCACACCAAGGCACAGGTGTGGACTTCTTAGAAGAGGCTTGTACTTAGAGATCTTTGCAATAATCAACGTGCCCAACCTGCATTCCACAGGCTGCGTGCGCCCCAGGATAGCCATCAACGCCACACAATACAAAATCTGGACACCCTGAATGACCCTGCAGCTTTCTAAATTACATTTCTCAAAGGACGTAATTTACAGCAAGATTTAAGGATTAAGCAAAGCTTAATATTTAAGGAAGGTGTAAAAGTCAAGTTAAAGAAATGCATGAGCTGGTTTTGTTATTTTTCTTATTGTTGGAAATGAAATTACAGGGCTATTTTGTGAGGTTCACTGTTTAGATTTAGGGATGAGGGAGGAATGCCAATACAGTAAAACTCAAGATTACAAACATTCCAGCCCCGAGTGAGCACGTCTTATTTACTGTTTTTAACATCCGATGCATCTCTTGGAAATGGGAACATTGACTCCGCAGGCAATCTGGGATTTACCGGATGCATTGAAGTTTCCCCGACTCTGTCCGTGGTAGTGTAAGAGACTTCTTTCTCTCCTCATATTCCCTCAGTGTCTCCTCTCTTTCCATCCTGCGCCAGAACCTTGCTGAGTGAGGCCTACCCTCTCAGGAGGTGGACAAGGCAAGGAGTCCTAAGAGGTTATCAAAAATCTGTTAGTAAGAGCAGCCGGAAGTCGTCGGGAGCAGACTCTGAAGTAGATGCCGTTTCTCTGGGCTCATCCAAGAGTTCTTTCATCTTAATTAGCTCACTGGTACAAGCAGCACAGCAAGTATGACTTCCCCTGGGAGCAGCGAGGGCCTGGCAGCAGGCACCGTTTCCAGAAGCAGGCCACTCCATCTTCCTGCTCAGCCTGGAGAAAGGGGATGGGCCAGCCACTGACCAGACGGGAAGGGAAAGCTCTGGGCTTCTGGAGGCTGGCCCTGGCCCAGCACAGCTGCCTGTCTGCCCCTGCATGCTTTCTCTGTGAGCACCTGCTCTCCTGGAACCTGGAAAGTAGGTTGATTTCTATCCCAGTTTTTAGAAGCTGCACAAGGAAACCAAAGCAGTTGTCTGGGCCCCCTAGTTGATGGAGGTCAGTGTGGTCCAGGAGAGGTGTGGGGCCTGTGCCTTCATATGGACCCCTCCCTTCAATACCGCCCTTCCTGCTATGATAGGCTTTCTAAGAGTTAAGTTGGCATCGTAAAACCTCTTTCTTAAACATCCTCCCAACCTCACCAGCAGGGACCCAGGGACCCTAGCCTTCCTTATTCCAGAGTGTGGCTTAGAGAAATCACCCATGTGGTGGGAAACAGGAAAGTGTTTTGTGCTGTTGTTTGCAAGAGAAAAATGGGAAAGACCTGGCAAGTCCCACTTAGAGTCACAGTCAGCAGTGTGAGGGTTCCTTTGCTCACACATACCTTTGCAAGGACATCATGGAAGTGACAGATGACACCAGTGTGGGCAAATCCTTTGTGTGACAGCAGGTGTCGGTGAAGCCTTACGTCATACCCCAGGGGCAAGGCTATCCAAAGGCCGTGTTTCCTAAGGAGAAAAGAAAGCTCAAAGTTCCCTGCCTTGACCAAAGGCACAAATGGTAACCATTTGAAAAACTGATTCACATCTCTTTTATATCACGCCTACTCTCCGCAAGGTTTGGGGACATTGCTGAAGAAGAGATGGAATTGTTGTGCCCAAATTTTGAACCCCAAAATCACCAAGAGGCCCATTTTAATGCAAAAGCAAAGAGTCTTTTATAGTAGATGTTTAACGAGTTAAACCCATTAGCTCGGGCCCTTCATCCTGCCACCATGGCCAATGGCTGGAGAAAGACCCCAAGCAACCTTGAGGCAGGGGTCTTAAAGGGCAGCATAAGGGGAGTGTCTAGGGGTATGAAACAGTCTCAGGATTGGTGTGCTTCTAGGTTTGGGTGACCCGCCCTGTGTCGATTGGTCAACTGGTGGTTATGGCCCATAGGCCCTCCCAGGGCGGTTGCTATGTTCTGCACGTCACTGTTGTGCACTGTCTGTAAAGCACACCCAGAGCCGTAAAGCACAGCCCCGCCAGCTAACTTCTGATTGGTTCCTTGCCACGAGGATGGCATCTGACCAGGACAGGAGCGGCAAGGTCATACAAGCATATGTTAGCCTGTAATGGCTACTAAAATGGAGGAGTGGTCACTACAGAATGATTGTAAGAGGCAGAGGTTTGGGACAGTATGTTCTAGACATGACTTGGCTGTTGTACTCATGAGCTCACAGCAGCTGTGATGACCTGCACAGGACCATATATAGCATAGGACAAGATCTAACCAGCCAACATTGCAGCACAGACAGAGAGGGGTCCATGAGGGTCCACTCCACCCCACCCAGATAAGGAGCTGTTTTGCAGCTGATGGATTTTGGAAGGAGTCCTTTCTCTTCCAGTATGGCCCATGGTAGGTTTCCTATGCCCAATGGATAGTCCTACTCCTGTGTGCATTTGGACAGCACTGATTAGACTAAGTGTGTAAGAGAGAGGGGGAGGGAGAGAGAGTAAGACAGAGAGAAGAAGGGAGGGAGGAAGGGAGGGAGGGAGGGAGGGAGGGAGGGAGTGCTGTCCAGTTCCCAGCATCAGGGGGCTCACAACTCTCTGTAACTCCAGCTCCAGGGTATCTGGTGCCTGTGACATTTGTAGGCACTTGCACTCACGTGTGCCTATGCCCCGCCCCCCACACCTATGCATGATTAAAAATAAGAAAAATCTTGTTTTAAAAGAGGAGGACATGGCCGGGCGGTGGTGGCACACGCCTTTAGTCCCAGCACTCAGGAGGCAGAGGCAGGTGGATCTCTGTGAGTTCGAGGCCAGCCTGGTCTACAGAGCGAGTTCCAGAACAGCCTCCAAAACAATACAGAGAAACCCTGTCTCGAAAAAAAAAGAGGAGGACATGAAGTGAGGGGGGAGGGGAGCATCCCAGAGAGCAGTTGGAGGGCCAAGTGAGGTCAAGAACATGCTAAACTACTTAAACACACAGATCGGCTGAAGAAAGCCACCACATTGCTGCCCTGCCTCGTTGTGTGGAGGTGGCTGGCTGTCCTCAGTTGTGACACTGGGAGTGCAGTATCTGTGTGGCACCCATCATGCTCTTCTCCTTCCTCACAGAAACTGGAGATGCCGGCTAGTGAGTGTGCGTTGGGCAGGGGGAAGGGTCTTCAGCAAACTCTGTTTTCTGAACTTTTTTTTTTGGCAACAAATATGGATTAGTTTTATAATCAGTACAAAACAATTAAGCTATTTTTAAAGCTGGCAATTGACACATCCTTGAAGGGGAGGCTGAAGGCAGCTGTTGTGACTGAATCATCTAGAACACTAAATTTAGTGGCATGGTACTAAGGGATCAGAATGACAGGAAGGACCAGAGACTAACCTGACCTGGACCCACCAACTACCCGCTGTCCAAAGAGGCATGCAGGGAAGGGACTTAGAGAAGGGGCCCAGGATGAGGACAGAGAAGGAGGGACACTGCCCCACCCCCAACAGCTTTGTGTTAGCATCCTGGGCATCCGCGGCTTCCTGTGGCTGCTCTCTGCCAACAGAGAGAGCGCAGCAGCCCCCACTTAACACATGCACACGTGCAACACCGCCGCCAGGCAGTGAGGTGGGGTAGAATGGGTGGAGAGACAAGTAAGCCCTTGTCCCACTTTGAAAAAAAACACAGTGTGAGTGATCACAGTCCATGTGAAGGGAAATGTCCACCCAGATGAGTACAAAGGCAGTTCCTGTGCTCTCAAGAAGCTGTGCCCCCTCACACACACACACAATGGGAGGGTCTGCTGGGCCAGGCACACTGCTCTGCTGTGGCCAGGTAAAGGCTAAGCTGCAGATGAAGCCCTGAGCCAACCTGGATGGAGGCTGGGGTTGGATATTCTTTCCTTCCTGTTTGGCTGCATTCTCATCTCTGCAACCAAGAAGGGCATCTATCTCCCCCTTTAGCCCAGTGCAAGGACTCCCCGGGCAGTGAAATCCGAAGTGCCCCTGGCCTCACGTGTACTTGATGGATGGACAGAGCACAGAAAATGACGGCCACAGAGTGGCAGGTGGTCTTGGGAAATTAAACAGCTCTCCCCAGCCATCCATCATCAGAGCTTCATTCCTTCCCCCTCGGCCTGGGGTCAGCAGGACACTCTGCCAGCAAGCAATCCATCACTGGCTGGGTCACAACACCACAGGCTTTCGTCTCTCCAGGAAGCTACCATCAACCAGACATCCTGAGCCCAGTGCCCACTCACCCACTCAAAAAAAAACCCTAAACATCAACCCAGATGGGGATTTAATTGAAGAGCAGTAAGCCTCGCAGGCCTTGCTGTCAGGGCAGAGCCCACCTGGAATCAACCTTCATTTAAATGATGACTTTGGGGCTGGAGAGGAGGCTCCACAGTTAAGAGCACTGGCTGCTTTTGCAGAAGATCCAGGTTGGTTCAGTTCCCAGCACACACATGGCAGCTCACAACTGTCTGTAACTCCAGTTCCAGGGGATCCCCTACCGTCTCCTGGCTTCTGTAGACACTGCACACATGTGAGGCACGAGCACAGATGCTGGCCAAGAAAAAAAGTATAAATAAATAAATAAGTGGCAGTGATGCTGCACACCTTAAATCCCAGCACTTGGGAGGCAGAGGCAGGCATAGAGTTAAATAATGAATGTGTTTCTCTGCCATTGTTCACCCACCCCCAAAGCTGGAGGAAAAGACTCTCATTAACCTGTTCCTTAGATCTGCTAAGTGGGTTCTGAAGGCTCACACAGTTCAGCTTCATTCTTAAGACGGGAGAAGGGGGCAAATGGTCATGTGACTATTCTGGCCAACGAGGCACAGGAAGTCGAATCCGGTGGAGGTGTGATAGGTGTGACAACATCTCTCATCCCTGCTCTCTATAGTAGGACAGGAGCCTGCCACATGGCAGAGCTGGATACCTGGTAAGTGTGGCTACCTTCCAGAGGTTCCACAACAGTGTGTGCACGTGAAATGACATTCACACAGACCCTGCCCTGGGCCTTTCTGCAAGCCTGGCTGGGGCATGGGACAAAGGGATGAATATGGGGTTTGCTCTAACAGTCGTCAGTCTGGAGAGAGATGAGGATCAGATTCTAAGCAAGGAAGACCCTCCCCAGCCCAAAGCCTAGCCTTGAACCTGCTTGGCCTTAGAGTCAGGTTCCTGATGCTGTAAAAGCTAGCGCCCTTCAGGACCAACTGTAATAACACTTGGTCCATCCAGCGACCAAGACAATAAGGGGCTTATCTGGACCCCTTCCTGCCCTGGACAACCCATCTGGCCGTTTTCCCATGCCTACCTACTCCCAAACATAGAATTGAACAAGCCCAGGGTCTCTCTGCCACCTGATCCATCATCTGGAGTTAGTGTCCCAGGCTGGCTGGGGGTGGAGAAGATCGGAGAGAACCTTCACCAGGGTTTGTAAACTCCAGGAGACTCCCAACAAGCATTGCGAACAGCTTGCTGCATGCATGGTACAGGCACTCTGCAAGTTCACAGAAGGCTCTCAAGAGCAGGCTGCGCCTGGACACATGAGCAGGAGCTCTTCTTTCTCTGTCCAATTCCACCATCTGCTCTCAGTTTTCACTGTCTCAGGCCTGAAAAGGCTGGGTCGATGGGAGGGACTTAGGAACACAGTTCTGAGCCCTTCTCTCTCATAAGGACCCACCCAACCCTTCTTTCTTCTTGTGCCTTGAGGAGCCTGGCCATGACGGCCCACCTGGAGTGTTCAATACTGAATTTGACAAGAGCATCAGTGTCAAGACAGTGAGCGGTTGGTGGGTGACCGTGGCTGCGTGCATTTCTTTGTCAGCAGTGGATCCAGCTTCTTGGCTTAGGGTGAAGAGCTTATCTATGTCCCAGTCAAGGAGACAAGAAAACATTCATCTCTGCAAATATGCCCTCATTCATCAACCTCGGAACTAGGGGTGACTCATGGCCTCTAGTCACAGAGAAAAATACTCCCCGTCATCCCTCATCCAGAATCCAGCACCCTCTTAATAGTTCCTCACATATTAGGGCAGTTCCAGGCAGAGGCACAGGGTGCCTTGATCCTTTCACAACATCCATTGTTGTATAACAGAGTCCTATCCACCTTCCCCGAGCTCCTGGTTGGTTGGGACCCCCCAAAACCAATCCTTGGGGTCCACCTCTGAAATGGTCTTCTTTGTTTCACATCAGCTGCCAACCCTGGGGAGGGGATGTGTCTCTGCAAACATCAGGGTCAGCAGAGTATCAATCCACGTGAGGCAAGAAGGAAATTCAGTTCAACACAACAACTTATTAGTTGATGTTGATTCAAACTTCTAGAGTCTGACACCGGGCAGTTTATTTTAGGCATATTTAATCGCAGCATAATTTTGGGAAAAAGATTCCTGATGATATTTAACTCAGTCCCGTGTGTACAACAAAGCTTAAGACATGGCTATATCAGCATTATTTGTAATAGCCAGAACTTGGAAGCAACCTAGATGCCCCTCAGCCAAAGAGTGGATAGAGAAAATGTGG